AGGGTGACGGCGGGCCATCCCACAAACCCTAGCCAACCCTATGGATGACAATTCTGGTCCAAACCTAATAACCCACCCAGATCCATCCAATATGAGGCCCACCCAAACCAACCCATTTAGCTAAATGAGCCTAATTGGGTGGGTAACTATTTCTATAGAGATTAAATGAGTATTAGATGGGCGGATCTTGACCCACCCATAACCCACCCGAAAACCAATAGATAGAAATCTTCTCTCCCCTCTCTCTGCAATTCCTCTCTCTTCGAAACCCTATCGCTCCTCGCAAGCGCGAGCGAGAGCGATCTCAAAACCCAAACTCGTCCCTCATCGCTCCTCGCAAACGCCAAACTCCTCCTCCGATAGCAAACAAGCCTCCTCTAATCGCCACCACGTCAGTGATCTCGCCGTTGATGTCTACAAAGAGTTCACTCGAAACTCTTGCAAGTGATCCGATATCGGCTGCAAGTTCGCTCACCCTGACTCCGTCGTGGCCGTGGTCAAGTAATTTGATCTCTTTTCTCTTGTTTAATTTGATTTTTTAGGGTTACTTTGATTGTGGCTATTATTTTTAGGGATAAGGTGATTGCTTGTGCTAATTCTCTGAGGAACAAGTGCTATCGAGGGAGGACGTGCCGTTATTATCATCCTCCTCCTCACATTCAACAGTATTTATCTTCATGAATTATTATTTTTTCCTGATTTTGTAAAGTTTTACTCTTGCGAATCTCTGGTTTGAAAAGGAGTTGTCTTTGTAAAAATAGGCCAATTCTTCATTTATTTCTAGTATTTGTTTCTCAGTTTTAAACCCCCAAAAAGTTTATAGAAAACTCCCAAAATGTCTGCAGAAAACCCCCTAAAAGTTTGGAGAAACCCCTGCAAGTTTATAGAAACCCCCCTGCAAGTTTACAGAAATCCTCAGAAAGTTTGCAGGAAACCCCCTAAAAGTTTGCAAAAAACCCCCTAAAAATTTGTAGAAAACCCCCTAAGGTTTGTATAAAACCCCCTAAAAGTTTATAGAAAACCCTAAAAATTTACAAGTAGATCCCTGAAACTTACATATATATAAAAACATCATAACTAAATGGGTTATTGGGTCACTCATGACCTACCTGTTTGGGGAGAAAGTTGGTTTCTTCATTGAGGTAATCATTATAACTTCAGTCGTTACAATAAAAGTACAAAAAATAGTCTTTTTATAAGACTCTTACACAATAAAAATACAATTCTTGTCAAAACAAACGCAGAGATCGTTTATCGGTCTTCTGCTTGCGTGGGATCTTGGCCTGTGACGGGGATGTTGATATCCGTGGACCACCAAACGATCAGATCAGATTCAGAACTTCGTCGATTCACGAAAGAATTAAGAAACCGAAGCAATTATCTCGACAACAGCGAGATAATTACTCTTCTCAAGATCACCACACCGGGGCACTCTCAAGGAAAAGAACCGGGTTGCAGATCTGACGAACTCCTCTTCTTTATCCCGAAGAATTCGCTAAAGTCTCCTCCTCCTCTCTGAAATTCGTGGCTCTTCAGTCCTCAATTCAGCAGGGCTTTGTCAACGCTCAAGAATTTCAGATCTGAAAAAATAAAGGCCCTGAGGCTGTATTTATAGGCTTAGGGACCCCTATCTTCGGATAAGAACGATCGATTTGATCTTATTTTTAGTTGTAACCACTTAACCACGTTCTTGGATGATATCAGATCAATTGAAATAAATCCAGATAGTTAACAATTAAAAAATAGTTTTAATCTACCAAAAAACAGTATTTCGGGTCTGCGGACACCCGTGGGTGTCTCGGCCAACCTTGGGCCGAGACACTCCTTGGTGTCTATCCTTGGCCGAGACACTCTTGGGTGTCTCGGCCAAGTCTTGGCCGAGACACCTCTTGGTGTCTCGCTGAGGCTTGACGCGTTATTCCGCACATTGTGTCGGTTTTCGTCGTAACTTCATCGTCCGATCTCGGAATTACGTGGTTCAAGATGCATTCAAAAGCTAACGAGGAGATCTACAAGCTCCCATGGTTGAATCACATGTGAAGTAGATGGGACACGAGGGGCGCTTTGTCTTTCGTAAGCAACGCGTAGCTCCCGATCCATTCATGTTTCCGTTATTCCGAAGTTTCGTTGTTTTGCATGGTTCGTTGACTCACTTCATGTTCTTGTCGTCGTCAAATGAGTTTCTGTGACTTGGATAACAACGTTCATCATCTTTTCTTTGTCTCGAGTCGCGTATGGGAACCTATAGCCATTTTTAGTCGCCTACACCACCAATTTACGAAAGTGACTCATTTAGAAAATACTAAATGGGTCATAAATGGTCAAGTGGTCATAAATGTGCCCACCCATTTATGACACAAACAAGACCCAACTAAAACCATCCATTTGACATCCCTACCAAACCCTAAACCTAATTGGAGATGATGAAGTCATGTGTTATTTTTCTTAACAGTTTATGAACCCAACCCCACTAAGAATGAAGTTTAAATTAAATGTGTTTGACCCGAACCCTAATCTAAACCCAACTCGTTTTTTAAATCAGATTTAAAATTAATAAAATGAGTTTGACCCATAAACAAAACCCAAACCCGAAACCCTAATAATTTCAATTTTACTATAAAATTATTATTAGACCTCTGTTTGACCCGAAAACTGTTCTGAAGTCCATCATTGTTCATTTTTTTTGCAGTAAAATTAGTTTCAGCCCCCTATTTAAACTAGAATCTATTTTGTAACCCGTTTGAAAGTAATGATTATTTTCTAATTAACCCTTAACAGTTACATAATTTGTTCTAAAGCCTATATACATGTATAATTTATTTTTATGTATTGATTTAACTCTTGTTGATTAATAATGTGTTATTGTATTTTTTGAAATACTCGTTTAAATTTTACATGTGACATGGTTGTATTATTTTTTAAATTGTTTAATTTAAATTTTTATGAGATTAAAGTAATACATGGAAAATTTCTAATAGGCCTAGAATTGTTCTAAATTTCTTCTATTAAATAAAACAGTTTAGAATTTATTAAAAATTGATTGTTGTTATTTTCTCTCACGTTCTCTCAATTATAATAAACTAGTGTGCACCCCGTACAAATGACAGATTCCATTTTTTTTATTTCTGCTACAGTAATTCTTCATTTAAATACAATTTTTATAATTGCTATGGTAACATTTTTTTAATGCTACGGTATCCCGCCAGAGCTACATTATTACTGCTACAATAATGTTTTCAAACACTGCAGCCCCCACCTGTGCTACACTATAATGCTACAGTAATTCATGTATTGCGAACAGTAAAATCCTGGATCCTCCTGCTTGTGCTACAGTAACAATACTACAGTATTTGCCTGTAGCATTTACTGTAGCATGAACAGTGAATCTTGGATCCTCCCATTACTATAGAGAAATAGATAACAAAATTTGTATAGAAGTGTAGATAGAATAATATTTAATAAATATAAATCTAAAGTTCTTCCATCATAAAAATATAACTTGGATAATAATATTTTAGCTTATCTGATGCCACAAAGGATAGGATTTGTTAAAATTTATTATCTAGTTATATCTCGCATAAGGATGCCAAATATTTTATGTACAATGGAACCACTAGACTGAAATAGGTAGTGCCATCTGTTTTATATAAGATAGCTGGATTAATGGGTAAATACTTCATTGATATCTTGGGATGCTTGCTAAAATAGTAGAGTCATGTCATACATCAAAGATCAAAATTAAAGAAAAGTCATTAATTGTTAATGATTGAATAGACTTATTCTACGTTGTTTAATTATATTCGATCTTGAAAATCTAGAGGTTTATAATTAAGCTTGGATTTCTTGTTCATATTTTTTGTATGAGAGAAACATATTAATGTGAATTTCATTATTTATTTTATTCCTGGTAATGATTGTGCAATAATAAAATTAAGATTCTTATGTTATTATATTCTGCTTGTGTAGGATGACTAAGTTTAGTCCTTTTGCTAAGCTACTTGATGACTATAAGCTGACTAGACTAAATTATGTGGATTGAAAAAGAAAATTGTTTATTATCCTTACTGCTAAAAAATTGACAAAAGTTGTCAAAGAGGACAAACCTGCTAAAAAATTGGCAACAAAATATGAGATTCTCGAGCATGATGAATGTGTTGAACATAAACTTGCAATATTATGACTTCATTAGACCCTACTTTACAAAAGCAACATGAAGGAAAGAAGACTTGCAAGGAGATCTTGAAAAGCCTTAAGGCTTTGTACGAAGAACATAATCGTATTGCACGTCAAAACGCTATGAGCGGTTTGATGAACACCAAGATGACTGAAAGTACACTAGTTTAGGCCCACGTCCATAAGATGATATGGCATAAAAATGAATTAGCATCATTGGGAGTCGAGCTGGATAATGAATTAAAAGTTGTTGCAATTCTTGTTTCACTTCCTCGATCATTTAATCAATTCAAAGTGAATTTTAGTAGTCAAGAACCAAATCTCACTTTGTCAGAACTGAGCAATATGTTGTAGAGGGTTGAGAATATTATGAAGTAAGATAAAGCCATAGTGATGGTTACAGAAACTGTTAGACCGTCTAACTATAAGAAAAGAAAGTTTTCTTATAAGAAAAAGCCAGTAAAAGAAAAGAAAGTTTCCAAGAAAGAAAAGAGAGATCAAACTAGTGATGAATGCTTCTTTTGTAACAAGAAGGGGCATTGGAAAAGTTACCTTGCATTATTAAAGAAGGATAAATTTTCTTAAGGTATATCATCTCATTACTTAGTAGAGACTAATGTAGTGAGTTGTTCTTCTTATAAAGAGTGTGTGGATTCTGGCTCATCTTCGCATATTTGCAATTCCTTACAGGGGTACAAGGAAAGGTAAAAGCTTAAAGATGGAGAGATCGCCTTGATAATAGAGACTAGAGCCTTAGTTTCAGCATTATCTATAGGAACTTATTTTTTGTATTTGAATAAAGAGCATGTAATAGAATTAAAAGATTGTCTTTATGTGTCATCCTTTAGTAGAATTTTGATTTCTGTTTCTAAACTTCGTCAAAATGGATATTCTATTTTATTTGGTGATACATCTACTATAAAGTTTGAAAATTCTATTATTGCTCATTGTGAAGTTGAAAATAACATATATTATATATCAACTGCCCTTAATTCTTATACAAATATTATTGAAGTTGATAAATCTTTTAAATGTAAGTTTGATCAAAGTAATCCAACTTATCTTTGGCACATAAGGCTGAGTCATGTTAATATTGATCGGATCAATAGGCTGATAAAGGATGATCCTCTAGATTTTCTAAAAGTAGAAAAATTTTCAACTTATGAATATTACCTAAAAGGTAAGCTGACTAAATTACCCTTTTCAGGAAAATGTGCTAGAGCAGAATGTACTCTTGACATTTTATATTCAAATGTATGTGGTCCTTTAAATGTTAAAGCAAGAGGTGGATATTCATATTTTATAACATTCACGGATGATGCATCTTGATATGGCTATATTTATTTAATGCGTCATAAATCAGAATGTTTTGAAAAGTTCAAAGAATATAAAGCCGAAGATGAAAAGAAACTTGATAGAAGTATCAAGGCCATCCGATCCGATCGAGATGGTGAGTACCTATCTGAAGAGTTTAAGAAATTTATGAAAAAATAGAATTGTTAGTAATTTGACACCTCCTGGAACACCACAACATAACGGTGTGTCTGAAAGACGAAACCCAACCCTATTATATATGGTTAGAGCTATGCTTAGTCATTCTCAGGTTCCTACTTTCTTATGGGGTTATGCATTGGAGACTGCAAACTATTTGTTAAATAAAATTCATATCAAATCAGTTTCGTCTACTCCATATGAGATATGGACTGGAAAAAAACCATGTGTTAGACACTTAAAGGTTTGGGGTTATCCTGTTCGTATAAGAAAATAAATAATAGACAAATTAGAGTCTAGAATAAAGAAATGCCTATTTGTAGGCTATCCTAAAGAATGTATTGAGTATTATATTTATAACCCCAGTGATCAGATAATGACTGTTAGTAGAAATGTGTTCTTTCTAGAAGTCCAAACTGTTGGTCAATGATTTATAACTTTAGAAGAAGAATCATCTTCTTCGATAGGAGAGTTATCTGATCCAGTGGGAGAGACTCCAAACACCGATAGAGATTCTATTGATTCAGTAGGAGTGTCAAGTGATAAAGTGAATGGAGATTCATTAACTAAATCTGTTGTTGATGCACTAATTACAATAAGGAGATCAAGTGGGATCATTCATCCACCTGCACAGTACATGCACCTCAATGAAACATATTTGATGAAAAATAAAGAGGATGATGAAGATCCTAGAACTTACAAAAAAGCTATGCCTGACATAGATTCTAGTAAATGGGTTCATGTCATGAAAGCTAAAATGGACTCCATGTATCATAACAAGGTATGAGCCTTGGTTGATCCACATATTGGAGGTTAAAACTATAGGATGTAAATGAATATCTAAAAAAAAATTTGGAGTTAGATGGATATGTAGAGACATATAAAGATCGCTTAGTGGCAAAAAGTTATACTCAAAAGGAGGGTATTAACTACGAGGAAACTTTTTCTCTGGTTGTAATATTAAAGTCCATTAGGATCCTTTTAGCCATTCCCGCACATTATGACTATGAGATATGGCAAATGGATATCAAAACAGCTTTCTTGAATGGATATCTTAAATAAGATATTTACATGCAGCAACCAGAAGGTTATGTATGTAAATGTCAAGAAAGTATAGTTTGCAAATTGAATCGGTCAATTTATGGACTTAAGTAGGCTTCAAGGAGTTGGAATATTCGTTTTAATAAAACAATAATGAATATGATTTTATCCAAAATTCTGAAAAAGTTAGAGTGTATAAGAAATAACAGAATAATTCCATTGTGTTCCTAGTGCTTTATGTTGATGATATACTACTCATTATGAATGATGTAGGTATGATGACATCGGTTAAATTATAGCTTTCAAACGAGTTATCTATGAAAGATCTTGGTCAAGCATCCTATATTTTGGGGCTCAAACTCTATAGAGATAGAGAAAAGAGACATAGGATTATCACAGTCTACTTATGTGGATAAGATCCTGAGAAGGTTTAGCATGCAAGATTCTAAGAAAGGATTACTTCTTACTAGACATGGAATCTCGCTCTCAAAGAAAATGTGTCCTAAATCTAAAGAGAAGATTGAGAGTTCTAAAAATATACCATATGCTTCGGCAGTTGATAGTTTGATGTATGCTAGGTTATGTAGTGGACCTGACATAGCATATGATGTTGGCCTTGTAAGTAGATTTCAGTCCAATCCTGGTGAGGAACATTGGACTGCAGTGAAAGCTATATTTAAATATTTGTGTAGAAATAAAGACTATTGTTTAATTTATGATGCAAATAATATGAGCATTGAAGGATATATTGATTCTGATTTTCAATCCGATCCAGATGATAAAACGTCTACATATGGATATGTTTACATCATCAATAATGACACTTTTAGTTGGAGAAGTGTTAAGCAAAATGTCACTGCTGATTCTACAACAGAAGCAGAATATGTAGCAGCAAGTGATGCCACAAAAAAAAGTATGGATAAATAAGTTTGTTTGTGAGCTTGACATAGTTTCTACTAGTGTGTTTTCTATTCCACTATTCTGCGATAACAGTGGAGCTGTTACTCAAATTAAACAACAAATAGCTCATCAAAAGTCTAAGCTCATTGAAAGAAAATATCATCTCGTTAGAGAGACTCACAACAGGAAATGTGATTCAAAAGATTGCTACAATGTATAACATTGCAAATCCTTCCACAAAACCGTTATCACAAAAAAAAATTGACAGACATTTAGAAAAAATGATAGTTAGGATTGTATCTGATTGGATGTGAGGGCAAGTGGGAGATTGCTAGAGCAGTGTTATATGCCCATAAACATCCAATACATTTTTATTGAATATTAATTAAGTTTTATTTATTGCATATGTTATTTGGGTATCTTTTATATAATTGTTATATTATCCTTAAAAATTATTTTATTAGATCATGCACTGTGATGGTCACTTGCTTGAAGATATAATCTAATTCAAAGATTTCTTAAATTTTTGCTTAACCTAGAACTAGTAAATGATAACTTTGTTATAACAAGTTATTATGCATGACAATGACATATAGGATGTGATGGTTGACTCAGGTATCGGGAATGAAGATTCCTCGGGTATATCTCATAAGCGCATATTTGATATGTGTAGTACAAGACCTTATTTGGATTCTTTAGGACGAGTCACCTAAGAGATAGAGAATTTGAGTTGTTACGTGGTCCCTTAGACTTGATGATGTTATCATTTTTTATTTGATAATTTAGTATACTTTGATATAATGGTTAAGCTTGTTTTACAAGTGTCGTACAACCTGAAATGTTGGGTTATTAGATTTCATTTAGGGAAATGATGGATATCTAGATAGGATCCAGTATACTCATTTTTATTAGTTAATTTATAATGCATATCCCATAAAGATATTAAATTCCTGTCGACGGGTGATTTTTGAAAATTATTTTTTCTAAATTTATTTTCTTATAAAATAAAATATTTTGATGTTTCAAAATAATTTTTAGTTATGTTCATGGGATTGCAATTTCAGGAATGAGCAAATACATGATTTGTCCTGCTCAATAAAGTTACCTAAAATAAATTGATACCAGAGGGGATCGAATGTAAGATAATATTATTCACGAATATTTAATCCTATATTATGAAAGAGCTTTTATGAACAATTGATCAGATAGGGATTTGACTGTTCAATTAATATTATTAATTTGATTAATAATTAGTTCTTGATATGAGACATAATTGGTCTCATTAATGTCATTAGAAGAGGTTTACATGTAATACAATTCTATTACCATCCTAATTGTTATGAAAAGAATATTCTATCTTTAAATGCCATGGATAGAGTTTTAAACAATTAAGAATTATTTTGAAATTGAAATATATAAGGCATGTCCAATTCTATTTATAGGATTCATATGTAGCCTTATGGAGAAGAAGAAAATAAAAGAAGAAGAAAAATAAAAAAAGGAAAATAGATTTTGAGAGCCTATCTCTAAATATTGCTCCTCTTCGGTGACTGGTAGATTTTATTTGGAGGCTTTTTCTCTTGAGAAAGTTATTTCGCATTGATTTTGGGAGAGGTTATCGAAGAAATTCGGAAAGCGTTTCAGTGACTCTTCTAGATTTTAATCAATTTACATTAATCTACATAATATGCAATTTCCGTTGTGTTGTATGTCATGTTTCCAACAATTTTGATTCACTATTTAATTTTTAGTATGGCAAAAATCAGATCTAATTTACTTATTTTTTAATAATTTAAAATCTAGCCTCTAAACTAGTTTTTTTACCAACCTTATATAGTTAAGAAAAAACTAGTTCTATTTTGAAATTGTGAGCAACTTCAAATTTGAACTAGGCTTAGCTAGTTTTTTCTTAACGAGACCAAAATTGAATCATATATGGTTTTTTTAATTTTCAATTATGAGGTTTTTTTTTGAAAATCTTAACATTTTAGGGTGTTTCCTGAAAATTAAAAGTTACTTATGGTTCTATCTGTAATTCTCATATTTTCACTGTACTTTAGGTTTGAATTCTCAAGTTTTTTTTTTTAATTTTGAATTTTAATGATTGTTTTTTACAATTTAGAAAATTTTGGGGTGCTTTCTACAAATAAATAATTCTTCGGGAGCCATCGTTCAATATTTTTCTAAAGACGCTAACTTTCTAGCAACTAACGTAAGATTCTCAGTTTAGTTGCACAGCACTAAAAGGCTAATTATTTAAATATATTTCATAAGGATATAGTTTATAGGTTAATTATTCACAAACCAGGCTAGGTTACATGTATATTGGTTACATCGATAAATTGACTTATTTTTTGTTGTTAT